TATATATATATATATATATATATATATATATATATATATATATATATATATATCAAGCAGACAAGCAGGTTGTCGATCTCTGTTTGCTGAAGAGATACTATGAGCATTAGGCAACATTCGCCATCGAGTACAAGCTTGTTTAAATGTTAATGGAAGACAATTGCTCGAATACGTTCCTTCATTTTTTTTTGTAGTTGGGCGTTGTTCATAAACAATTTCTTTTATTCGCCCCGACAAATGAAAATATTTTATTTGAAAAACAAAGGCTAATAAATGCATTGAAACACATGTTAACCTATTTGAAATTTGTTTTTTTTATTTTTCTCGGTTAATATTTGAAATAAAAAAAAATATTTCTGATAAAAGTTATTTATTTTGAAGAGACCTATTGAGTGATATCACATTCGATATGTGTTTCTATGTAAAATTTTGAAGTTATTTTTGGTTTCGATTACTTCCAATTTTTTTTGGAAAATCCTAGTAGGTTATTTTGAAGAGACCTATTGAGTAATATCACATTCGATACATGTTTCTATTTAAAATTTTGAAGTTATCTTCAGTTTCGATCACTTCCAATTTTTTCCAAAAAATCGTAGTATCACCAGTTGATTCTATGGGTAAAGTTTCCTCTAAAAATTTTTTGTTTATCTCCGTACACTCGGTTACGGAATAGAAGAAGTGGCACGGGTAGTCTGATACATCTTGTATATAAATATGCTAAAGTAATATTATTCAAGAGTAAATATTTTCTTCCCAGAATATTTTACACTTTATGTTGATACTTCTCGTAAAATATAAAATGTCTTATACAATCATTATTTTTCGATGACGTCATCTTAATAATTTATGTAGAATAAGAAGAAAAACAAATCGATTATATTAATTTTCACGTAAAAATACAATAAAATGCATGAATAGTGTTATAATCGCGAATAGTATTAGCGCTTTCGAAACACTTCATGAGGAATCGTTTCGATTGCGCCATAACAAGCAAGCGGATGTGCAAGTGCTGCGATAAGCACCACCTTGCACATTCCGCATTTCGGACCTCGATTCAAAATGCATTAAACCATTACCAAATATGGTAATCTTCTTGTCGCCAGGCACCCCCTCCGACAAGACTAAACAATATTATAAAAGCACGGAGAAGACCGCCCGCGTCAGACTTAACACCTCGGTCTCTCGCCGCGACATACGCAACCGACACGCGGTTTACACATTACTAACAAACCTCGGGAGTAGTAATTAAACACGTTCAAGTGTAGTTACAAATAAATCTTTTATATTTAAA